TACCCTACATGTGATATCAAGATCTGGAATATCTCATCACAGGCTTAGTAAATAGGGGTTATTTAAAAAAAAAAAATCTTTGTTACATAATGGGAAAAAAAGCCAGAATAGGTTTATTTTGCACAGTCTTTGTCTGAGCAGGAGGATGATGGATTTATGGTAAATCACTGAGGAAAACTCAGCAACATTTTTTTGTCATTGCCAATGGCACCAATTTTGTCTTTGACAGCAGAGGAGTTAATTCTGCCTTTACCAGTGCCTGTTTTCAAAGCATAACAAACAGCTTTCAAAATCAGAAAGTACACTGCTCAGTGGGGTAGCAGACTTGCCTTATGTTTCTTGAAGCATTCTTGATAAAAAAATGATCCTTTTCTGCAGCTTATGTGTCACATGGAGAAAGGAAAGAAATTCAGCATGAAGCTTGAAAGCTCCTTATTTTGTTGTCTCTCTGTGCCTCTCTGAGATATTTTAGAAAAGTAATGAACATTACCTATATACATTGTTTCAATTACTGTCTTTAACTGTAGTTGGCTGATCGTTCTGATTAGAAAACCTGCTTTTAATTACTTATATGTTTGTGCAAATAATGATTGTAAGCATATAACACAGACCACTAAAAAAAAAACCACCAAATGCACAACAAGTACTGTATTCTATCCCAGACTGCTCAGAATTTAAAAAGAAAACAGGATACATGATGATTTTTGTTGTTGTCTTGGATAATGTTATCTTTTTACGCTCTGTAAGCCTCAATTCCTTCTAAACTGAAAATAATGGTATTATGCTTTTTAAATTTTAGGGTTTTGCTAACTACTACTACTATTATTAAGGGAAACAAATGAAAATTTTATAGAGAACAATTAGTGCAAGCTGTTGAAAGTATTTATCCCAAAAGGTCTGAGACAAATTTTGATTATTTTGATGGAAATTGTGACTATTAACTGACTGCACAATGGACTCCTCAGGATAAATTCTTTTCAATGTATAGGGCTGTGTATGTTGCTCTAATGAACAGTATTATGTGAATTTTGTTTGAAAATTAGAAGTTGAGTGCCTTGCACGGGATAATTGAGTGTCTTGTGAGCCATTTCAGTATCAGGTTTGCAGTCCCACACATCAGTAAGATGTCCTTGGTCAGAGCCATGGACTTGACTGTCTGCATTCTTTCCTGTAGCCAAACTGTGTTGGGAAGGAGGGATGAAAATGTGCAGAGAAGTTAAAATATATAGATTTCACTGGTGAATAAAGCTTCTTTTTCTTTGGAAGACCTACGAATAGAGAGATCTCAAGGCTTCAGCACTGAGAGGAACATGAATACAACAGCACTCACAGACTTGCAGTTCAGCAGTGGATCCCCATTTTACTTGTGAGACTCCATGCAAAGGAATGTTTCTGATACATGTGGTCAGAAGAGGGAAAAAATTGTTCTGAAATAACTTCAAAGATAAAACATGGTCTTCAGGTTCTTTGGCCATACAACCCTATATTTCACAATGATAATCACTTTACAGAAATAATTAGCACTGCCACCACTCACTCCAGCATAAATAAGCCCACTTAAATTCATTTAAGTATGAATATGTCATATTTTCCAAATCAAATGGGCAACTTGATCTTGCTGTCAGGGAAGAAAAGAGGTCAATTTGACATGATGATTCCAGGTATTGTACTTTGAACTTGAGAAAGGAGCTCATAGATTTTAGGAAAACATTATTTCCCTTCCAGAAGTAGATCATAATCTGAAATTATCTTTAATGACTTTGTTAGTATTACTGAGCTAATATATATTCCTAGCTCAATAGTTGCATATTTATATACCATTTCTACCTTTATTTTTATTCTTATGTTCTCAGTGATTAATTAATTTTCTTGGGAACTCAGCGAAAAGCTGTTCAAGTCATTAAATAATATCAAATGCTAATGAGAACTACTGACTAGTCTTGAAATCCTGTTTTTTTTCTCAATCTTCAATCATTTAATACTTGGCAATCACATTAAGCAGTTGTACTTATCTCTAAGATTTTCTACATCTGTCAATATTTTTTTTTTCTGAACTAGAATTAAGAGACTTGAATTCTGTAAGAAAATATACATCTGACTGTTTTTCCTAATGGATGCAGAAACACTTTGTTGTACATAAGGTTACTCACAACATTTAAGTTGCAACCTCATGGTAGTTCTTCTATGTGATAAGGAAACAGGAGTTTGAGATGATGCTTTACTGTTCACAAGTGTGAAAGTTGCAGCTGGCGTGGTAACTAACCATGGCCTGGCACCAGCTCAGCAAATCATTCTCCATTAACATTACCTGAAGGGACAGTGTATTTTCTTATTTTTAAGCCAATTCCAGTCAGACATCCAGTAGGCATATAGTGTCTCTCCAGGGTTTCTGAAAAGGCAAAGCTGTAGAGTTTATAAGTATTCTTAACATCACTCTAGACTATTTTTGTGGTGACTGTTCAGGGGAAAGCATCTTTCTTCAGTTCATGTGAACCTGAATAATAACTCTGTATATCAGATTTTTATTCAATCTTCTCTCTTAATCAGAAAAAGCTTTCTGATTAAGTTCCAAATCCAGAAGAACATATGATCTGTTTTCCTAAAATCTGCCTTCATTCTTTAAAAAAACACAACTTGCTGTTCTCAATTGATTGAAAATTTAAAGAGAGCCTGTGTAATTCCTGCAGATAGTAGAATCATATTGATGAACAATGATCAAAAATACAATGTTTGCTATACTTTATTACAAATTTATAAATATACAACAGTCATGTGGTGTTTTTTTTTTTAAATTTCCCAGGTATTTTACATTTCAAATCCCACCAGACAAGTTTTAAGTCACATTATGCAAAGAATCTGTGTTGTAATTTCAGTTTGTGAGGTCTTGCAAAACCCTACTTTCAATTCCCATACGCACAGGCTTAATTTTTAAATGTAAATTACAGCAAGACTTCAACAATCATCTTCAACATTCTTGAAAAAATCATGAGGGTTGGCCTCAGTGCATAAAGTCTATGAGGCATTAACTCTCAAAGCAAGAGAGTAAATTTTTCTAGGTGCCAGGAGGTAAATCTGCAGAAGCTGCCAGATTAGTACCTCACTATGAAATACTCTTTTGTATTTGTTATTGAAAAGGTTCAGTTAGTTATACAGGTTCTACTGCATGCATACTGCCCAGGAGCAGGAAAAGATTTCCAGGGAGCTGCAATTTTTGTATCTGCAGATAGATGGTAAATGCTTCAGTGACTTCTGAAAATTTAGGGGAAGTTTCTAAGCCAGACAGATCTAAACACCAACATATCAGTATTTTCTTATTCACCTTTTCTGGTGCACATAATTTTGAGAAAACTGTCAGCAGGAGTTTCCTGGTTGTGGGTAGAATTGATTACAAATCTAGGTGAAGGCCAAGGGATCATAACCTCGAAACCCCTTACTTGGGAAAGACTCTCAGGCCCCAAAATAGGGGATTGAGTAGCACCAGGGAGAGGTCTCAGCGTCTAAGGTGTGAGATTTCCAGGAATCAGCCTCTGATATTTTTTGACTTAAAGGTTCTAAATAAATATTTTAGATGATACTGAAATTTTTCAGTCTTGCACTATGAAACTTTTTCCCTTGAATCTCTGCTACCAACATGTCACATTCTCCCACTACTGAACATTAGGCCCTTCTGTTCCTCTGTCGTGGTTTTAAAGCAAAACCATAACATCTTCTAAAATTCATAATGCCCAACTCCTCTTTCTCTGTGAGAGGACTTCTACCATCTCTCCTATTCCCCATGAAAGTTCAGAAACTCAGAAACATTTTTGGTGTTTTGACCCCAATAGAAGATTGAGACCTCTTCTGTAGTGGCATTTCATCCACTTGGAGCATGGATTTATAATTTTGAGCTTTGCCACTGTTTTTTTTTATGTAATATATGATTCCATTTACTTAATTGATTTCTTGCCAGTTCATCAACACTATAAATAGGAGCACATTTTCCCTTTCTCTTTTTCTTTCCATCATTTCAGTCTTCATTACAAGACTCTACGAATGCATTTACAAAAGTGCTGTTGTCCCTGTACTTTTTCTTCCGTTCTAGGTTTGTATGTAATATTTTTTTATTGAAACGTATCTCTGTGGACTTTAATCAGACACATCAGTTCAGTAGTGCAATGAAATACCAGCTTTGGGATATGTCTGTTATAGCAGTTTGAGGAAATCAGCATTGCATGAAATGAAAAATAATGGCACTACTGAGTGCTAAATGAGATGGAAAATATAAAACATGCATTTCACTGAGAAGCAGGTGGATTCCTGGTGGAAGGCTAAAAACTTTTTAAAAAAATTAAGCAAACAAAACAACAGCAACAAAAAAACATCCCATTTAACAGAAGACTCTGGGCAGGAGCTGAAAGGTAAATTGATATTTCTCCAGACTGGTAACTTTAGGAACCATGCCCACATTACTGTGAGGATACCTGCTTCCAGGCATCAGTCCTCCAGGGACTGTAGAACTCTGAATTCTGTATAATACTGTGGAACACTCTGCAGAACATTTCTGTTCTTCTCTCCTGAGCAAAATTTGGATTAGCACATTTTTCTAGTTTTGACTGAGCCGATTCTATGTTTATCCTGATTAATGGAAATGATCATCCCTTATTGCTCTGTTGGACAGATTATGTAGGTAGTTGAATCCCAGTGGTGATTACAAGTATCCATTTTTATGCTAAAATTTCCTAGGTTCTCTACAGCCAGACACAAAATACTCCGATGGTCCTGGAAGATAGATTCAATTTTCTGTCGTATATTACTCACAATGAGCTTCGTTAGAAATATCACAGCTCTTACTGTCACACTGAATAGGCAATATCTCATATTCTTATACTTAGTAGTCTTATGAGCAACAATTATTGCACTAATCATTCCTATTTAATGAAAGAAAAATCGCATCCCAACAGTGGGCTGCTACCACTGTAACACAAGTATGTAAAAGAAAATCTATTAATATAATAGCATACCTGTCTTCCACATGAACAGTCAGTGCAGAAGCATCTGCTCTGGTACCCAAGCTGTGCAGCACACACGGCTGTGCTCTCCAGTGTGTAGCTCCAGGGAGGTATGAGCAAGACTTTAAGCATATTTCACTGAGGAGCTTCAGAGCTGCAGTATAAATCTGAGGGGGAATCTGGAAATCATGATGTGAGGAGTGAATAGGCACATTCTTACCAAAAAATTTCATCTCCAGCTATCATGATAGTGTGCTTACTAGGTTTACAGCACAAAAGAGTGCTAACATATTGTGTTAGCTTGAGTAAGTGTATGGATGTATTTGTGTATACAAATGCCATCTTCCACCTCCTTCTCAAAGAAAGCCTTATAGAGATACATATGCCACCATGTGTTAAGTAATTTTTTTATGGGCTATAAATGACTTGGCCAAGCTGTGAAATGAAACAGCTTGTTCCACTGCACTAACAGTGCAGACTCAGATCTTATTGTCTGTGAAGTAAATGTGCGATGAGTCACTTTCTAAAGAAAAACACAACATAAGTGGTTCCTACACCAAGTCCTGTTCACTGTGTATACATCCTTGTGATAGGACAGCTTTATGACAAAGGGAAATTATCAAAACATAGTATTATTTGCAGTGTTAAGTCAGAAAAGATTAGTATTTTTTCAGTTTGAATTACCTCTTTTAAAAACTTTTACATATTTAGTAAAACTAGACCTGTATTAGATGTGTAGGTAACATCTACTCCTGAAGTTAGCACTTTATCCTTGAACTGTTTTTCTATTTATATTTCTAATGACATAAATTCTCTGAAGACCTGCATCTACTTTTATCCATCTACCTCTAAGGCTTAATTTTTTTGCATTCTAATGACCATATGTCCAAAGCAGTATAAGGAATGAAAAATCACTACCCACACAGCCCTCTGCCAAAGCAAATAGGGAAGTTCCTAGGTGTTCCTGTTATGCAACGTGTTCTTGGGTTTACATTTAAATGCAATATGACTGACTTTGCTTCTGCCTGGCCCACAAGTTTGGCAGACATTATATAAATATACTTTGTTTTTCATATCGCTCTGCTCCTGGAGTAGTCAGCAGGTTTCCTAACAGAAAACTTTTCAGAAATACAATCTGCAAGTACTTTGGCTTCGTTACTTTAATTTTTAACTGTTGTTCTTAGGAAATACATTGTTCTTACAACGTTTTCTAAGGACTCCGTGTATTTTAATTTAGGTTGGTGGGTGTTGGTTTTAATCCCAAGTAAAAATTATTCCATTCAAATTAATTGTTTCTCTTTGGATTCCCAGAAGTAAATAATACTCAGAACCTACTTAGCAGTCTACTTTTTCCCCTTCTGATACTATGCTACATAAGATTTATGAATTATTTCTATAATTATTTGATGCTCTTTTAATATATTTTTAAGGACATTTTATATTATCTTTTACTACAATCTGTGGGAATAATTTAATTCTCCTTAAAGTGTTTATACTGTTTCCAGTATACTTTCATCATATTGTAACATAATTCAAATGGACTTAAATTCATTTCACCGCTACTTCTAGTGATTCAAGCCTGAATGGCTAATTTCTCAAAAACCAAGTGGACCAAAAGAATAGATAAATTGGTTTTGATATTCACATCTTCACATGTACATTCAGAGTAAGAAGGTGTAAAATTTTTCATTATTTTGGCTCAGAAAGTGAAGGTTGGCTTAGATGGGATTTTGTCCTTTCAGACTATATTGTCAAACCCTCAAAAACTTGCATATCGAGACTCCATAACAGGACAGGGAAAGTAACTTAAAACTGTCATCATTTAAATGAGAACCTATGCAAATCTAGCAAAATGCTCCCTGGTTTTGTATAGGTGAGACCCATTTTGTGTTCTCATACTGACACTGAAAAAGAATTTGCAGACTCAGTTGTCCTACTTTAACAAAATATTTATGCTATATTGTACAAAGATTACTGTAGTATTGTGCAAATACTTTAATGAACTGTGGTTCTGTCAGATCCGGACTTTTACAGACAGTTAGCAAATTTTTTCTTCCTTTAACAACCGATTCCCTTCTTGGTAAAACCGCGGTAGAATGAGCTTAAAATAATCAAGGTTCAGGTTGCTCTGCATGTATGACATTAAATAGTTTTATTGTTTTCCCTGTGTGAACTTCTGTTCATACAGAAAGCCAGGGCAAAGTGTGCCTTTCATCATCAAAACTTCAGATGCGCTGTGGCAAACCGCCTTTTATGCAGCTGAATCTGCAGTGTCTGATATGTCTCATTATGTAAGATGCTAAAATTGTGAAGAATATGAATATATATTTAGACTCAGGCAGTGATTTATGGTGAGGATGAAAGGGAACAAAGGTGGTTGAAGAGAGTTTTGCCTTCTGAGACTTCACAGTTCCTCCTCTCAGATCCAGGCTGCACCTATCTTTGAAGTTCAATTTAAATCGCAAGAATAATTTCAGCCGTAATTTTGGCTTTCTCTCATTAAAGTTATGGAAAATTACAGTGCTGTAGATTTTAATTTTGATACTTCTAGTGTAATTTAATTGTTTAAAAATCAGTTTTCTGAATGAAATCCATTAACTTGCCTCTCAATTGCCATTGAAAAAAATAAGCAGGTACTTCCAGAAGGAATTTATCCACCCTAAATAAAAAAAAGTTTAAAGTGTTATCCCTATTGACTACAGAGCCTAGGAAGTTTGCATTAGACACATAAAATTCCTTATGATTAACCCTGTCACTAGTTAGTAATTCTAAAACACAGCTAAATTTGGGGGAAATCTAGTATTTGAATGAATGCAGAGAGGATAGAATAATCAACTTAGAAAATAAAGATTCCCTTACACAGAAGTATAAATATAAATATGAGACATCTCATATAAATATGATATCTAAATATGAGATATCTATATCAATAATAGATATAAATATGAGATATAAATATGATACTATGAATTATTTGTGTAAATCTCTTGACTTCCCTCAGCTCATTTTTATTCTATCTCTACACAGAGTGCACACAGGTATTCTCTGTTCATCTTCACTATTAAAAACAACCTTTGTGGTCACCTTTGATCCCCTAAATTTGAAATTTACAGGTCTCATTATTTCCCCTCCATTTATTCCAAATGTTTCTACCGTACAGGGACAAGTCTTGCTAGAATATTGAAAAAAAAATCTTTCTGGAGAAAACTCTGATCCCTTATACTGTCCTTTGGGTCACTGGTTTGGGCAACTTCTGACACCAGTGAAACTTTCTCTTCTAATTCATCTACTCTGACCTTATCCTTTTGTTAGCTGCTTCCCACTGCCTTATGAACGTTTTCCTACAACATTTTAGAAAACCACCCAACAGAAATAAAGCAGGTTGAAACTAAATTGGTATAAGTATATGATTTTTATCAAATGTGTGAGCATGTATGAAGTATCAGTGTTCTTTTCCCGCAAATCATATTACTTCAGACCAAGAGGTTTTATGTATGGTATCAATGCACAAGCAGAACTGAGTTTTGATTTGGTTTGGGGTTTTGTTTTGGTTTTGGTTTTGTTTTTTTACTTAAAAAAAATAATAAAACCTATGAAAGGGAGTCACACACAGAATGCTCAATAAACAGGGTTTATAGATTTTTTTCTGGGAAATATTCTGCACCTCAAAATCTCAACAGGCAAAAATGTTTTCAAAATGTATTTTGTACAACAGTTTTGTTTCCTCTGAAAATAAAGCCTGAACATATTTCCCTTCAAATATTCTTTGTTTAATCATACTAAGAATTTTGGGCATACAGGCTAAATTTGTGCACTACTATATATTTAAAATTTTGTGGGCAGTGAGCCTACTAGCTCAGAGATTTACAACATAAAGCTGTCAGATTTTTCATATGCCTGAGCCTCAAAGTCAGCCACCCTCACTGCCCACAAAACTCTAAATTGTGTTTGCTATGAGCAAAGTTCCTGAGTTCTGCTCCTCTCCCCCGTTACATGATTGCACGCACGTTGCATCAGAGGAGGCAGGGAGATATTAATGAAAGACCTTCTTTGCTTATCTCATAATATAGCCTGTTCTCAGCAGTCCATATTTCAAGTAAGGAGATGGAAGGGACCTTCAGCAGCTGGAACTCCTCTTCAGAGCAGGAGTAAATAAAAGCAATCCTTCCCTGAGCTTCAGTTTGTCCCATGAGTGGTTGATTGCACTGTGCACAACAGAATGGGTATCCAGCTGCAGGAGGAGCAACAGATTTCAGAACATGCATATGTTCAACCTCATCTATGGAGTCAGAGAACGTATTTATTGAGACAGATCCGTGTTAGTAATCCCAATGTCTATTTAAAGCACTGTGAGACAGGAGAAAGTAGTAGTGAAGACTGTATTAGATGTCTGATTTTTCTTTAAGAAGAGAAAAAGAATATTAAATCAGCCTACAGGGAAAATTTTGACAATTATCATGGAGAAAGAAGTATGTGTGAGGGAGGTGAAAAGACAAAAAGAAGGTAATGAAAAAAACTCAAAAGGACAGAAAAGGTTGGAGCCTATAAACATTGGGAAGCATTGTTTATAAAGGTTATCCATCATCATTTTACAGCAGCTTTGCTTATAGCTCATGTCCCAGCAAGAGGATGAAAGGCATTATGAATACAAATAACTGGTACTGCAAGTAACTGGTGTGATGGTAAAAATTACAAACAAACAAACAAAAAAAAAAGGTGTAAAAAAAAAAAAGGAGAGAGATTTGAGAGATTTGCAGATTTGCTTTAAAAAGATTGGAAGGTTTTGGCTGGTATTTTGACTTCTTGATATATTTACTTTTAAAATGATACTGGATACTCTTTCTTTACCTTCAGTTAGAGCAGTTGTAGTTGTTTAGCTCTAATACTGAAATGTAAATATCAAATGGCTAGTATTTGCAGTAATACTGAATTATTTATTGTGATAAGATGATGTTATCTTGTTTTTCTGAAGTGTAGCTGTCTGCCAGAAGATGAACTTCTGGTTCTCAAAATAGTGTTAAAGGAATCCAGCAGAAACATATTTCTTGCCACAGCAGCACTCTGTTAGACAGAAAATGATGTCTGTATGGCTTCATGGATTACAGACAGGAATACATGAGAATGGCATAGGTCCTCATCAGCTTTTCTAAGTCTCTGTTTTCTTATGGTATTGCACTCCAAAGTCCTGTCTATGTTTACATGATCAAAGTCTCTCTTCACAATAAACCCAGTCTTAGTTACTAAACCCAAACAACTCCAGGAGAAGTAGATGTTATTATTTTCATTTCTGAGATATGAAGTCTAAGATCACAGAAAGCTGCTAAGTGACGTGGATCTTTTGGCAGAACCTGTATTTTTGGACTGTCCTTAATCATGCCCCATA